TTTTGGTGAGCTTAACATTTTTTATAGTGGTAATAACCATACCCATAATACTCATGTAACTCTTAGTTATTTCTCTTCAACTATTATAAAAAAAAACCATCAATAAAATTAATGAATTATCTTCTCCATTCAACTTTAATTCTCTTATTTAACCTTTTAAATATGAATTTAAATAAAATAAAAATTTTAACAATGTATACAAAAGATAATTAGACTTTTTTTCTTATATAAATTTTGTTAAATAGTATCATTTAATAAAAAAATTTTAAGTATTATTTATATTATTTTAAATATTCATTGAAAATTCATGTTTGAATAGTTTAACAGTTAAAATAAATCAATCAACTAAATTCGAAGACGGGGTAGTTTTTTCTTTTTTCTTTTTCTCAGGTTCTTAAATAGAGTATAGTCAATTTTTTTTGTACCTAGTAACTACAAATCAGGGTTTTGACAGACATTAAAAACCTTGAAATTTATGAAGAAAAAAAAACCCCTTGAAAAAGATGTTGATTTCGTTCGCACCTAGTAGGAGCTAGTATTTCATCCAGTAATTTTACTAATCCTAACATGTTGCAAGTTAAGCATTTGCCCTTTTTCCGGGACAGATAACAAATCTTGTCCTCAGGGGAAGACTTTCCCGCCACATCCTCATGAAGATGCTTTAATTATCCTTAGCCCATCCCTACAACGAAATTTTGGAAGATGAGAATTTTTTTTTTTTTTATGAAAATGTGTTTTACAAATTGAATTATACTTTAAAAATTTAAAAATATACTCTAATTTATGAATTTATGAAACTATTCATAATAAAATTATTTGTTATGTTATTTCATTAATTATAATTTAATAATTTAAGTATCTAAACTGCACTTTTTCCATTCATAACAGATACGAAGTGCAAATGCTAACAAGTTACTATTCCATCTAATAATTTTCCTAACAGGCTGTAATCAGTCAAGGTCTTCCTTGTCTATAACCAGCACGAATGTGCAAATGCTAAGGGTTTGCCTCTTTTTAGGACAGATAGCTAGAGACAACAAATCTTTATAATTATGACGAGGAAACATATATTCACATTAGTCAAATTGCATATCCCTTCCAATATGGTAGAATGGAAAAGTGATTTTATCATAAGAAATGACAATAATATTGTGTTTTAGAAGAAATAGCAAGTTAGTCACGATCTTCCACTAACACGTCTAAGTCTTCCTCTAATAATTTAAAAGTGATGTCAAGGTTTGTTTCTTTATTGAGACAATGAATCTTTGTACTTATGATGAGAAAACATCTATTCACATTAGTCAAATTGCATATCCCCTCTAATACGGTAGAATAGAAAAGTGATTTTATCATAAGAATTGATAATAATATCGTGTTTTGAAAGAAATAGCAAGTTAGTCACGGTTTTCCACTAACATGTCTAAGTCTTCCTCTAATAATTTACAAGTGACGTCAAGGTTTGTTTCTTTATTGAGACAACGAATCTTTGTACTTATGACGAGGAAACATCCATTCACATTAGTCAAATTGCATATCCCCTCTAATGCAATAGAATAGAAAAGTGATTTTATCATAAGAATTGATAATAATACCGTGTTTTGGAAGAAATAACAAGTTAGTCACGGTTACGACAAGGAAACATCCATTCACATTAGTCAAATTGCATATCCCCTCTAATACGGTAGAATAGAAAAGTGATTTTATCATAAGAATTGACAATAATATCGTGTTTTGGAAGAAATAGCAGGTTAGTCACGGTCTTCCACTAACACGTCTAAGTCTTCCTCTAATAATTTACAAGTGACGTCAAGGTTTGTTTCTTTATTGAGACAATGAATCTTTGTACTTACGACGAGGAAACGTCAATTCACATTAGTCAAATTGCATATCCCCTCTAATACAGTAGAATAGAAAAGTGATTTTATCATAAGAATTGACAATAATACCGTGTTTTGGAAGAAATAGCAAGTTAGTCATGGTTACAACGAGGAAACATCCATTCATATTAGTCAAATTGCATATCCTCTCTAATATGGTAGAATAGAAAAGTGATTTTATCATAAGAATTGACAATAATACCACATTTTGGAAGAAGTAGCAAGTTAGTCACGGTCTTCCACTAACACATCTAAGTCTTCCTCTAATAATCTACAAGTAACATCAAGGTTTGTTTCTTTATTGGGACATAGAGACAACGAATATTCTTCGCGCTT